GGCATCTCGCTCTTTTCGCCCCGATGAGGTGCATATGTGAGGCGTGCAGTTGACATGCGGCCGCACTTCGAAGACGACCCCGATCTGCCCCCGCTGCAGGGGGGGCGGTGGGTGCTCACGTCGACGCCGACGGCGACGCCTCGGTCCAGTTTCCGATCGGTGCAAGGCCGGCTACAAGTCGACTTCGTGAGGATGATATCGATATCTCATCGCCCTCGGTCGATCGTCCTCGGTGTCGGTGTGGATTCATCTCTTGCGTTATTCTCTAGGAAGACATGGGGGAGTCCGGGGGCAGACTGGCCCGGATCAAAGAGTTTTGCTTCAAGAGGTCCATTCTCATCTTCATCACGCTGGCCTCCTTCGGGGGTGCCGCCTTCCTCGTCGGACTCGGTCTCAACGCCCAGACTGTGTTCCCGGGCTCCGACCCGAACGCCCTGGAATCGCCCAGTGTCGACAGTAGACCCTTGTCCGCGTCTGAGTCCCTCGTAGGTATGTGTGCGACTTTCACTCTCGAGGTGACCGACACCGTTCGAGGGGGGAAGAGATCTCTCTCGTTCGGGTCGTGTGCTCGGCCGGTGGGAAACGTGTCGGGTTCGACGTGATTCGGTCGAGAGAAAGCAACAAAAAAATTCGTGAACTCCGAGAAATTCCTTATCGTTTGAGTTCGATGAAACGAGACGAAGCGGTGAAGCAAAAGCCTCCGAGTTGCCTCATCGCTCGTACCAAATCCTGTATGGTTCCGTCGAGTTCGTAATCCCCCTCCCCCCGCCCCCGAATCCCTTCATCCGGGCGTGAACAGGGAGGAAACTTCGCAGTTGTTGAAGGCGAGTCCCCGCGGCGACGGATTCGGCCCGCCTCGCTGCTTCGCGGGGAATCCCCCGGCCCCGAGGCTCTGTCCTTGCCGTACGCCTAGGTCAATCTCCTTCGTGGAGTAGGCTCCGTTCTTCCCAAGGGAAATAAAGGCGGCCGCTCCTTCCTATAAGTGGTGATCACGGGTGATGCAGCAGGAACTTGAGATTCAATTCACTCGTTTCAATGCACAGTAAAAGGACTTTCCCGGGGCATTTAAAGGCGTCTACATTTCTCTGACGTTTCGTGAGTTCCACTCGATTTAAAAATGATCCGACTCACTCCCTTTAAAAATTATTCCCGAAAACGAGAGAATGAATTTTTGACGGAACCTTTAATTCACGCATTCCTCGCGTCGTGCTCGGAGGTGACGACGACCCCACGTCGCTCGCAAAACGACCAGCTAACGATGTCCCGTTGGTTCCCTTTCAGCGTCAGGCAACCGCTTCAGAGAGCCCGAGAGAGTCTACGAGCTGAGAGAGTTGACGTCCTGCCCGGAACACGAGGGCCTGCAACTCTACCCCCATCCCAAGTACTGCGATCAGTTCTACAAGTGCGCCAATGGCACCCTGTCGTTGGAGACGTGCGAGAACGGCCTGCTCTTCGACGGGAAGGGATCCGTCTACAACTACTGCAACTACCACTGGGCCGTGGAGTGCGGTCAAGCGAGGATAGCCGACAGTAAGTCCTTTCAGGAATCCCTAACTTTAAACGAGTCGACCATAAAATCGAGAGCAGTGCCTCATACGATACCTTAGAGAGCTGACCTTAGTCCATGGACCCTCAGAGGCCACAGTAGGTTCAAGGAAGTTCAATGGCATATGCCTTAATGCTTCATCGCTTTCTGAACTTCTCAGTCGTTCTTTCTTGGAAACAGCCACGGCATTTTGCATGCAGCTCACGAGATCTGAAGTTCCATGGAAGGAAATGCGACATCTCCAGCCCCCCCCCCACCTCTGTACGTACGACGCTTCCTAATGACGTAGAAGGTCGAACATGAGAGACCCGGAAACCTTGGATGATGGCATCCGAGACTGGTGAACTGTCCCAATCAGGCGCCCAGAGAGAGGGAAGACAGTGCTTTATCGAGGGCTGCATCTGGCGTCTGAAGGGCGCCCGCGGTCGCTTTCGTATCTCAGTCGTTTCTTCCGTGGCTCGTTAGTCATCTCCCTGCTTTGCATCGGGGGATAGATCCCATAAATTTCCCGAACGGAGGAGGCCCGCATCGCCCCCAAGCGGTCGAAATTCGTGCGTGGAGCCGAGTGAAGCGTCTTGCGAGCGTTCGACGCCTGATCGAGGTCCGAGCCACCGACTGAGGGAAACGAGGAGTTGTTTTTGACAGGAGGGAGAAGATCCCGTTTGTTTCTCTGGCAGAGTCTTGTTCCATTGTTCTGCTTCCCCAAGGTCAAAAGAAAGAAGAAAAAAAAACAGGGCACAGCAATATTACGGACGACTGGTGAGAGATTTTGGTGGATAGAGCGTGTGACGTGCGTCACATGCCGGAATGAGGAGAAGGTCAACCAACGGACTTATTAGGAACCGGGGGGAGAGTGAGAGAGAAGGAAGAGCTCAGAAGTCTCGAAGGACGCGGGCGCTTCGATGGGTAGACGATAGGTGTTTTTTTGGTCGATCGCGTGAAAGGGGAGTACGTGAGTCGGGTGCCATAAGTGGTGGTGGGACGGCAAGGTCACAGAGATGAAAAAGATAACTTTCGTTACCGTCATGACTGCGACGCAAGGACCACTTCCCGATTGAATAACGAGGAAACCTGCCGCAATGAAGCGTGGAGACATCTGTCGGGTCTCATCATCGTGTTTTCTCTTTCCTTTTCCAGTTCCGGCTATCAGGAGTCCAGGATGCGAGTTTCGCTTCGGGATCTTCCCCAAGTCCTCCCACTGCGAGACGACCTACATCAAGTGCGAATTCGGGATCCCCGACGAGAAGAGCTGCATCGCCGGCCTCGCCTACGACGACAGGGTCCACCAGTGCAACTGGCCCGACCTGACTCCCGACTGCGACCCAGAGGGTAAGCCCCAAACCGTTCTAAAAAAAAAAGATTAATAATAATTAATAGTTAATAAAATAAAATGTAATATAATATAATAAAGTAAATAAAATTAAGTAAAATAATAAAATAAAACAAAATAAAAATTCACACGTCCCAACCCCCTCACCCTACAGAGATCGTGAACTTCAAATGCCCCGACAAGCTGCCGCCAGGTTCCCTGGCCAGGAAGTTCCTCCCCTTCCCCCGCTTCTCCGCGGGCGACTGCCAGTCCCTGATCGTCTGCGTGAACGGCTACCCGAGGAGAGTCCAGTGCGAAGTCGGGAAGGTCTTCAATCGAATTACGCTTTCCTGCGACTATCCCGAGAACGTCCCCGAGTGGTGAGTTTGGCTTCTTGGCTCCTCGAACTCTTCATCTCGTTCCCTTCCTTCCGTTTTACCGATTTCCGAAAATGAAAAGTCTATAACTTGAGATGTGCTTTTGGAAAAGGGAAATGGAAGGAAGCCTTCCGGTCCTCGAGATTTGACATTATTTACTTAATCATTTACTGAAACGAAATGTCATGCATGCATTTCCACTTCTACATCGCTTGCACCACGAGCTTTCAATTTGAATGGTAGCATCTGATGCAAACGATCGATCATCTCGATACACCCTCTTATTGCACTTCTCTTTCTGTTCCTTCTTCAACCTGACTTTACCACTACAGAACGATACACCCACGTCGTGCTTTTTTCTAGTGCGGAGCAAGGATACGGGAGAAACTAAGACGGCACTCGGCTGACGCGCAAGGTCCTCCACTCCCGCGGCGGAGGACATCCGCTTCGTCCCTTGCACGACCCAAGCCTTCTCCAAGGCGGATATGCTCCGAGTCTTATTTTATCCTTTCCCTCTCTCTGGGCAGTAAAATTGGATTTGTAGACTTTTCTACGCCCACGTCGGTTCATTCGCTTCGCGCGGTGATTCCTGTTGATGCCTCCGACGCCTTGCCGTGACGTCATTGTTTTCCGCCTTGGTAGCTCATATCGTTTCAACGCATCCGGAACCCAGCTGTAATGGCAGATCCTAACTTCTTAGAACTGTCTTCGTCGGAGCGGAGATGTTTCGACGCGTGTCTCTGCCAGATTAATGAAATTCATCGCTCTGGTACTCGAAACTGAAAATCAAATCCAAGTTGGGCTGGGCCACCGGTCCATGGCGCATGACACTTTCTTTTGGACAGATTTTATTTTGCTTAGGACTCCGTTAAAATACGTTTGGCGAAGGAAAATTTTAATTGCAGGAAGGAGAAGGAGATTCGAGTCTCTTTCTGAAGTCGAGATGATACCATTCCATTATCCGTTTCGCCATGCGAAGGGGTTTTTTTAGGCATGGAGAGTACATTTCAGAATTCACAAATTCATTAATTTCACATTAAATTTTTTACCACTTTATTCCGCACAACGACCGAAAATCGTCCACGGAGATGCGATCGAGACTCACCATTGCTTCGACCTGGTCTTCATTCTTTAGCGTCGGATGGGTTGAGATGGGTTGAGAGGTTGTACCGCGAGAGAGAGAGATGGTATCTCTGATTGGTCCATCGAAGCCAGAAAATGAGAATTCATTTGCAAATCAGTCTGATCTGTTTAACCAATTCGTTTGGGGATCTTCTTCGCTTTTATTTCGGTGCCAACGCTGTAGAAAAAGAGAAAGCATCATATCCCTGGCTTTGGTCGGTCCGTCGCGACGAGTAAAAAAAAAAAGTTTCCCCTCGTGCAACCGTAATTCTGAATTTCATGGAAACTGAGTTTCCGCCTGGTCACGCGAGAACCACGCGATGAAACCGCAACAGGAGCGAATTTCACGCCTCAATGCTCGCGGTCTTTCGTCGGAGAAAGGCACTTTCGGGCGCGAACCCCGAGGACTCCACTTCGTCGGGAACCTTGCGGTTTTCATGCGGGGATTCGCGATCGCCGTGGTCGACGCCGGTTGCCTCGGGTCGCCGCGACCTCTCGAGTTCTCGGGGCTGTATCCACATGAGACATACGTAAACAAGCACCAATCTGATATCGAGTATACCGATCATCGACCAAGGCAACGATGAAGCCAACGAGGCAGCACATGGTTGCTTCACAGTCGAACTAAAAGAGAAGAACTAGAGAGTAAAGTCACCGAGAGTCATCCGTCATAACAAGCAGAGAAGTTCGACATTTTTCTCTGACTTTTATTTTTATTTCATTTTAAGCGATCGGCGATACCGATCGCCGAAAGACCGGATATAGCGGCCATATGGCCAGGTCATCTTGAGCTCATATACCCAGGTGACACCGCGCAAAAACCCGTTGGCTTCGGAGCGAAATGCTGCTTGGCAACACGATTCCGTTAGCACATGCACATTTGCATTCGTAGTTCATGGGAGAATATGCGACGCTCCTATCGGCATGGTAGGCAGCACTCAGAAGGTCATTTCGATCCCCAAGGGGCCTCGAACGGCGAAAAAATCTTTGTGAGCACGAAAAAAAGAAGAAAGGTCAAACATAAAACCATTCATTTGGGAGGGGGAAGGAGAAGGGAAAGGGGGAGAAGGACGGACAAGGTGACCGATTTACTAATTAATCATAGTGGTACTCGAGAATCGATGGTTCGCAAGACCTTGAATATCGTTGGATCACTTCGCTACACCACAGAGATGAATCATGGGTCCAAAAATGACCCACAGGGGGTGCCACGCCCGAGTCGACTTCCGCACCAGCGTCATAAACGTTCGGAACGTCCACCGCTCCCACGAAATGACGACGATCGCTCTCAAGAGTCCGTTCCAACCGGTGTGCCACACCCCTTTCGGGCGACGATGAGGCTTTCGGTTAAATCCTTATCCTGTGGCAAAACCGTTCGACCAGAATCCAAGGCCGTGCGAAAGTTGGACGCTGAGATGCGCCTCGGCTGAACGGCTGAACCGTCTCGTTGGTCACCCCGTGTGGGAGATTCCGGTTTGCGAATTCCGATCTCTGCGAATGCTAAACTTGCAGCATCCAAGTCTTTGGCGAATCTTGATGATTCCGATCGTTTCGTCATCTCACACGAGAGTGAAATCGTACCGACGTTTCCCATTTTCGCCTGAAGGATTGAGCAGGTTATATCCTCGAAGCCACGGATGAACGACCTTGGAAATCTCGAATCAGCTGCTGACCTTGGGAAGCCCGAATCCGCTGCTGACCTTGGAAAGCCCGAATCCGCCGTTGGCCTTGATAGCCAACAGGACAGGCTCGAAAAGATGCACACGGTGAAACCCCGACGAAGGCCGGGTTCATACTCGTGCTGTACAGCACGTGCAGCAGCGGCAAAATCCAATCCAACACGGACACGTTGCATCGGACAGTATGCAGTTGCAGCATCCAGCATGCTCTACAGCAGAAGCATGAACTCGGCCGAAGACGGGAGCGGAAATGCAACTCCACCTTCATGAACGGCCCGACAAAAGCGACCGAGGACGCGATGGCGGATTTCACAAGCGACCGCAATTCCCTCTTTTCCCTCGCGGATTCGCCTCGCGTGCACAAAGGGTTTATATACAAAACCGGTCGCAGAGTGGACCGGCCGCCATCACACCGCATCATCATCAGAGCCGATGCAACGAACAACTTTAAAAGATCCACGAAGTTTCTGCTGTCGGCAGTCCTGTTCTCTGCGAGGCGATCGCACGCTCGGTCGTGAATTGCAAATTGCCCTCTGAAATGGAATTTTCAGAGGGTACGAAGTGAGACCGTCTGCTCCTAGTGAGCCGAGCCTCTTTTTTTGTGGAATTTTTGGAATCGACGACTCCATCGGATTCCGCGAGGATCTGCCTCGTTATCATTTTCGGCATCCGTGATAGCTTCGATCTGGTGCTGAAAAGAACGGACTTGCATAAGTAACCGCATGCGGTACACAAAAAGCAAACTTTGAGGATTTTTATTGAGAATTTTATTTCATTTTATTTTATTTCAACTAAAAAAAATCTGATGAACATCAATTTTGGAGAAAAAAATTTTTTTACGAACCAAAAGATGAAGACTTCTTGGAATTCAAAGTGAGGTTTGGCCCCGGAAACCGTAAAAAAAATTCACAATTTCAGGGGGAAAAAAAGAGGGCGAAATACGTTAAGTCGTTCTCGATGAGCGAATTTTTACCAACCGGAATTTCAAACGATGTTATGCAAATAATTTCTGCATTCGGGAACGGCATTAATCGAAGCATTAATCGAATCAAGTTGTAATCATTAGGTTCCCAGAAAAAAGCATAGTTCATCCGCACAAAACTCTCAAAGAAAGAGATGGAATTTCAAACCAACAGAAGCTCCCTGTTCGGGGGAAACGTTGGCTCCGTGCTTGACTGCGAAGAAGAGACAAAACATTAGCAAGAACAAGGAGCAAGCCCAGTGGGCCTCCTTTCGGTTGAGGGAACCCTCACTTCCTCACCTATTTGAAAAAAAAAAAAAATTTCCGACAAAAAACGAACTCGTTTCTCCGTTAGAGCCAGCAAACACAGACAGACGGTGCCCGTGAAGGATGGAGGAGTGGAGGACTCTGCGTGGTTGGGTCCATCCGCCACGAAGGCTTCTGGAGAACTGGCTGCTCTGGTTGCTGACGGCGCCACGCTCAAGGGCTTGGTCGGACGCGCATGCGCGTTGTTGCCTAGATCCTTAGGGGCTCATGCCTCACTCACGCCGTGACCAAATTTCAAGTAAAAATTTCCCAACAAAATGCCAACTTTGTACTAATCGCCACAATACGAACTCATTCCGTTTCTTGTCTGTATCTACCTGCTTGCCAATTTTCGGAGCGATCAGGCCAATATTTCGTGTGGACACACGGACAGACACACACACACACGCGCGCACACACACACGGACAGAACGGGACAATAAGTGGTACTTTTCTTTTCAGGAAAGGAGACCCACTAATAAAAAAAGATTCAATGACTCCAATGTCTGGGCAATTTTAGTGCTGTTACCAGTGTTATCAATCGAGTCACGGTTGCCCACACTTCAACGGAGGCCACTCGGGTTCATTCAAGGGATTCAAAAAGTCAGCAGGCCCCACACGAAACATCTCGTTGTGCCATAAATTCCCTCAGGAAACGATTTTGCGGAAAAGGAATAAAAACCAAGGTGTTTCGTTCGTGCGATTTTCGCAAGCAGGATCTTTTTAGAAGTGAAGAGTGCTCACAAAAATCCGAAACGCTTGACTTCAACTTGAAATTAAAGTTTAATCCCCCCCCCCCCCAATAAACCTAGACAGGTGCCGACATGCTGAGATGCCGACATGGTAAAAACAATGGCGTCGGGAAAACAGATCGGGGAGGAATCGCAAGTCAAGTAGCTTTCCAGAATGACGTAGAATTCATGCTTTGTTTGTCTCTTT